TAGGAAAATGGACATACCTTGAGACCATAATGTTAACTGACTCATAAACATAAGTTTAAATAGTACATGGAGGGGCCAGGGAGATGGCTCAGTGGAATAAGTGCTTCCCTGGCAGGCGCAAGGGCCTGATTTCAATCCCTGGTTCCACACAAAAAAAAAAGTTTAAAAAAAATAGTACATGGTTTCTCTCGTATGAGAAACACAAATTTTAAAAAGAGTAAATAAAATATAGCTAATAGGAAAAGAAACAATGTTTCCCAAAAGAGTTCTTGGTTTATTAGTTAAAACACTGATTCCATTTCTGCATTTGTGATGTTTGTAATATCCGACAGTTATTTAAAAGCATGTAAGCTTTAGACTTTGCCAACCAGGGTCCTCTCTCTATTCAAGCGAGTATCATTTTGGATTTCTGTCAAATAAATAAACTTTTGGTTATAAAAAAATGGATTTTCTATCTACTATGTAAGGAGGAAGTAGAGTCATTTCTTAGGTCTCTGTCATAAATGATGATGAAAACTGTCAGCTGATGCTCTCAAAACTTTACAAATCAAATCTTTTTAGACAGCACAGTGCGCCCAAGGTTACTTGTCCAAGTTTCACAAGGAAATAACTCAGTTATGCATGGTGGTATAAAACCAATCTCAGCACTCCAGGAAGCTGAGACAGGAGGATCACAAGTTTCATCCCAGTCTGGGCAAACTAGCAAGCACCTATTTCAAGATAAATAATACTAAAATAAAGGTTAGGAGGTTAGGAATTATTTTTTTATTTTTATTTTTTTTTCTTTTTTGCGGTACTGGGGATTAAATTCAGGACCCTGCACTTGCCAGGCAAGTGCTTATTCTATTGAGCTATCTCTCCGGGCCCCACAAAATAAAGATGAAGCAACTATAATAATCTTTACCTCTTTCTGTTGCAATTGACTTCGGTAGCTGGTAGACTGCTGCTTTATTTGAAGCTCTGCTGCTTCATGCTTCTCTTCTAAATCATTACAGAATTTTTTAAGTCTTTCATTCTAGAAGGAAAAAAAAACCCAGTATTTCAACAAAAAGATTGTATTGTGGTCAGAGTTTACAAGGAAAAATATTTAATCCAGGGCACACAATTTCACTTGATCTTAGCCAAAAGGCCGAGAAGTGATGGGGGCACATAATTTATAGTCAAATGCAAAAGAGTAAGGGAGATCTGTCCACACACTAGAGACCTAAAGAATCCATCTGAGAACTTGGATTGCTTGGCAATGTCCTGCACAACTCCAGCTGAAGACCTGGAGCCATGGAAATGTCCTCCATGAGTCCAACTGGAGTCCTAGAGGCCATGACAATGCCTCACGCAAGTCTGTGTCAAGGCTCTGCACTGGGAAGGCCCAAAGGTCGGTGCTGGAAGCTACAAAGTCTGCACCAGTGAGATGAAGGATCTGTGCCAGTGGGCTGAGGGATCTGCACTAGAGCTGGGAAGCAACACTCAAGACAAGGACCAGAGCTCTCTCCAAAGGAATCATAGCTATCCCCAGCAACAGCAAGTCCCATGCTCCTCTGATGATGAGAGCGGCTGA